TATATATATATATATATATATATATATATATATATATTATTTTTATAAAAAAAAAATCAATAAAGAAATACATTACTAATACAATAACAATACTGCTCTGTAAACAAAAAAACAGGTATTTAATATAATAAATAATATTATAAAAAAATATTAATTGTATTATTATTTAAATTATAACAATTAAACAAATCAATAAAGGGATATATACCCATAGCAATAATGCTATTGTACTGTAAAATAAAAAACAAGAATTGAATAATAATGATCATATGGTACCTTCTGTGCGGCCGTGCGCAGCTCAGCGAGAGCGCTGGCCAGGGTTTTGGAGCACTGACTGAGCTGCATGGCAGACGCCTGGTCACTGATGGTGGGAACCGTAGCTTTGGCCGCGGTCACCATTTTCGCCCCGGGCTGATGAAGAGAACAGACACCATGAGCTCAAATGATGCAGACTTGCACGTTATACCAGGAAGTGAAGGTCAGAAGAGTGAAGGGAACCTGCAGGAAGTTCTGACTGGCTCCGATCAGGGCGAGCTGGGCGCTGGGGCTGTCGGGCTGAGCCTGGCTCCCTCTCACACCCTGAACCAGCTGAGGGATCTGATCCGCCACCCCCTGCAAACACATCAACATGCTGTTCATGCCGAGTCATTCCTTGAGGTTTTCAGTCAAGGGTTTACGTCATTATCTAGGCCGTGATAACTATCATAACACTCTGTAAGCGGGGAAAACTGTGGTGATTTAACAAAAATAAGTGTTAAGCAGAGTTATGCTTTATGTTTCATGTGTTCACATCAGTCATTCACAAACACACAGCGCTCATGTGAACTGGTTTTAACCAGTTGCCATGGCACTCACCTTGCAGCTCTGCACGAGTTGTTGCTGGGCCGCAGGGTTCTTGTTGGAGGAAGCGGCGTGTTGCGCTGCAGCGATAGTCTGAGTGGCAGCCGCCGCGGCCTGTTTTGCTGCATTCTGACGAACAGATATGACACAAATATATTTATTATAAAACCACATACTTCTATCAACCTACCAACTTCTATCTACCTGAATTGGGAAATTCTGAAATCACAAAAACTGCTTGTTAAACTTACATTTAAACACATTTGAACTATTTCAAATCGGCAATAAAATCTGACATCAACTGACCCATTAATGTGGTTTCTTACCCACTAATTGGTGATTGGCCGCATTTTTTTATTTTTTATTTTTTTTAGAAAGCAGGACTTATTCTGCCATATTGTGCATTGTATTTTCTCCCATTCTTAGTAAAATGAGTAAACAGGCTCTGTATACATACACTTCTGGTCAAAAGTTTGGAACAAACACAACTTTTTCATGTTTTTAAAATGAGTCTCTTTTGCTCTCCAAGTTGAAACTTAGGTTCCACTTTATATTAAGTGGCCTTACCTACTATGTACTTACATTTGGTACAATGCACTTATTGTGTACATACATGTTTTTACATTGTACTTATATTTAAAAAAATACCTGCACGTAATTACATCTGTAATTAATTTCTATAATTGCATTTATAATTATACAGTTGACCCTTCCCTTACACCTTAACCACACTTAAACCTACCCATACCACCAAACCTGTCCCTAACCTTACCCCTATCCCACCTCAATAGCAGCAGAAGTGTACTGCAATACAATATGAACACAATAAGTACATCGTACTTATTTTTTTAAGGACCTACATGTATAGTAGTTAAGGCCACTTAATATAAAGTGGGACTGAAGCTAATTTATTACTTTTTAAAATAATGGTTCTCTTTGAATATTTTGTCATTTTTAAAAGGATCACATGACACTGAATACTGGAGAAATGGTTACTGAATTTATAACAGTAATAAATTACATTTTAAAATAAATTCAAACAGAAAACGGTAACATCCTTGGTGAGCATAAGTGACAGACAGACTAGTTTGTTTTTATTGGTCTTTTGCCTGCTTATTAGGTGTTGCTATGTAGTTCTGATATTTTAGTTGGTTAATAGACGAAGTTTCTATTTGGTAGTTGCTAGGCACTGTTAGAGCTAGGCTGTTCTAGCTGGCTGCTAGGGCTACTTGGGTCTTCTGGCAAGTTACTGGAGTATTTTGGCTGGCTGCTGGAGAGCTCTGGCAGGAGGCTGACAGTTAGACAGAGACAGACGGACAGATATCACAAAGAATTAAGCCGTACACTGTTCTTTTCACTGCAGATAATAAGCAAGCTGAAACAGTATAAAACAGAGAAACAGGTCTGTGGAGTTTGCGAAACCTAATAGTTCTTCTTTCTCACAAGTTGCAACAAGTTACTTGTGAAACTGCAACACTGAGCTAAACACACTGCAGTCTTTAAAAATGCGATAAATAATTTTCACTGTAGCCTTTGGCAAGATTTAACTCCATGAGCAATAAAACATCATATAACTTTACCCAAATAGGGCAGCAAAGAGTTGTAATAGCTGGCAACACTTCTAAAATTCATCTCAGTGCAGGCTATTATTTTTAAAAGAGAATGTGACCTCACAAAAAACCGTCATCACATCTTCGAGTTCTTGAAGGTTTGGATTTGTGCATGTCAGTCCTCACCTCCAGTTTGTTGACCAGTCTCTTTTTGATGGCATTCTGTGCCGCAGCGTTGGTGGCCATGCGCAGACCCTCGGCAGCTTCACGCAGCTTCTGCTGCTGCTCCTCGCTGTCCGGGTTAGCAGCTGCACCCTGCCGGCACACACAACAAACACTCAGCTCCATGCACAGCTATCCAGTCTAAAAGCACACACTGAGGCGTCTTCTGTCCCACCTTTGCAGCTTCCACCATCTTGGCCGTGGCGTCAGCCAGGAGTTTGGCTGCAGACAGGAGTTTGCGGGAGTTCTCCAGGTCAGTCTCGCCCTCCGCGTCGGCCTTGATAGCATTGACTAAATCTGAGGTGGCCTGAGCAAGGATCCGAGCCTGTCGCACCATCTCCCCTGAACACAGAGAGGAACGCGCCTGTGCGTGAGCTCCATTCATATGCATATCAACAAGTCTCTGCACATCAGTCCAAGCTATATTAAACACAGACTATTAAATGTTCTTGTTTTGACATTCAGCAGACACTTTTATATAAAGTGACTTACAATCAGTGTTGAGGGAGGTAACATTACAAGTATAGCAAGTTACGTAATCAGATTACTTTTTTCAAGTTATCAGTAAAGTTAGGGATGCACGATATTTTTGCCAATATCCGATATTTTTTAACTCATTTTGGCCAATAGCTGATACCGATATATTTCCTTTTGTTTGGAAACACCACCAAGTCTCTCCTGTGTGGAAATTATAAGCAAATTATTTTTTAATTTTGGCTAGTTTTTAACAAGAATTTATTTGTTAGAATTAAATAAACAATAAAGAAGTTCTTTTATAATGACAGTACATTGAAGCTTTGAAAAAAAACTATAAATAAACTATATATCAATCGCTGCATTTTTTCCCCAGAAAGATGCAATATTAACCTTAACATTTTATTTTAAGATTTAACATTTGTAGATGGTCTGAAGCAAAAGAGTTGTAAAAATTCTGTAAATATTTTAGAGCTCATAATTTGTTAAAAAACATATTACACATTAATGAATAAATGAGTATATATAAAATTATTTAAATTACAAGTGTCATACTTGTGATTTTTTTTTATTCATGTAAGCTATAGCTTCTAACCTTTAAATCAAAACATACTCATGATTTTATGATCTCAATCACTGCTTTATTTAATCAGAAACACAGTCTAAATGTCTACATTTGTGTATTTTACTTTCATTTGATTAGAAATAGGCCAACAGCGCCACCTACGGAATTAAAACTCCTTACTGAGCGAGCATTAGGACCCGGCAGTTTAAATGCAGCGATCCAAAACAGTGAATTTAATCATCATTCAGGCAAAACTTTGCTTCAAGAATGAGTTACACTGCTGACATGATCTAATCGCTAGCACACCCTGAGCACATGTGAGTTAAGGCATTCCTCTTATCGGCAAGACATATCAGCATAATTTTTTTCATATCGGGCCGATGGCGATATTTACATTTAAAGCCATTATCGGTCCGATAATATTGTGCATCCCTAAGTAAAGTAAAGCATTACTTAACACGAAAAACATCTGAGCTGCTTTTTCAAATAAGTAACTCCAGTTACGTTGTTTTCCCATGCATTGGCAGCTCTCCTGTCCTCATGTTGAGAGAAATTGTGAGTAAGTGCAGAGGCGTTGCGTTCGCTGTGTGAACATGAGGTTTCTGTAGTTCTAGACTAAATGTGAACATGTATTCACTAATCTCACCTGCACAAAAACAGATTCAGTATTCCTCAAAATGAATAAAAACTGAGAAATGCAAACTCAGAATGATGCAAACCTGCAAGAATTAAATGTTAAATAACACAAAAATCATTTATGTTTTTAATGCCTTTTTATTAACCAGTGTCTTTGCTGCTGACCTTCGATGATCCAATTCAACCATACTAATAAGCAAAAATGACTTTAGATAAACATAACATTTGTGGGGGTTTTTATTGCTGGGGAGTCTAGTCCTGTGTCCTATTCTTCCTGCAATTCAGAATGGCAGCACAACTAAAAGGTTTGTTTCTGCACCCTTTACTCATTTCCCTTTTGGTGTGAAAGGGCTTTTACATTTGCCAAAACAAGGGGTGGGTATCATTTACATTTTATCGATACCGATACTGCCTATCGATACTGATACTGTTATCGATACTATTTGGTGCAAATAATATGAAGTGAAAAGTTGTTGAAAATTTCAAGTTATTTTATTACTGCTGAACTTTGGCAACTGTATTAAAGTTCTTCAGTCAAGAGCAGTGAGTTATTTTTCTCTTTGTGTTTTATTTTATTAACATTAAATCAATAGTTCACACAAAAAGTAAAATTGTCATCATTTACTCACTCTCAAGTTGTTTTAAACTTGAATGAGTTTCTTTCTTCTGTTGAACATAAGTTATTTTGAAGAATGTGGTAAACTAAACAGTTGCTGGTCCCCAGTGACTTTCATATTTTTATTTCCTACTATTAAAGTCAGTGGGGATCAGCAACTATTTGGTTACCCACATTCTTCTAAATATCTTCTTTTGTGTTCAGCACAAGAATAAATAAAAATTAATACATGTTTGATACAGCATGACTGATTAAATAATGACAGAATTAAAATTTTAGAGTGAACTATCCCTTTAATGACAAGCGGCAGCATGTTTAGTACTGCCACTTTAAGAGCTGCACACATCTGTTTTTCTCTCAACTGTTTACTTTCACTTTAGACATAATTAACTGTGTTTATATGTAAATCTTGTGTGTTTTTGGCAGTATTAGTGCAATCAGACGATAACTAAGATAACCAAGGTGCTGTTTGACCGGCCTTTTAGTGTACGGTCGCTTCGGGTGTAAGGTTATGCGCTCTGAATAAGCACGTTAAAACAGCACGCAAATGAAACGTTTAACCAGCAAGGCTTTAAAGCACGCAGAAATAATGTACTTTTCTGATTGCGAATAAGTCACGTGAGTGTAACTCTACCGAATCAACATTTGATGGGAATGTGTCTCGCGAGTTTCAGTTGGAGCTGGAGCTGCGAGACATAATACAGCGCATTGCTTGTGGTAGATGTTATATTTTGTTAGTAAATGTTTCATTATATTACTAGTGTTGCCTCCTTTGTTCACTATTACACTACTGCAGAAATTTAATCTGGCACTGGTGTCGCCTAGTTTTGTAACGTGAGCCCACAATTTTTAAACGTTTCACTCTTGCCGCCATGACCGATTGCATGCAAACACACACCGCACATGCGCATGATATCACAATCATGTCGAGCAAACGTCGGCCACATCATTCAGTGAAGGGAAACGACAAGCAGCAGCTTCTAATTTGTCATTAACATTGAAGTATACGGAGATAAAGCAACGCAAGTATCGATAACAGTATCGTTTGTCCTGAAGCTTATCGGTATTCTGGTATTGACCCAATTACACATCGGTCCAAAAAAATACTGGTTCTCGGTACCCATCCCTAGCCAAAACTAGAACTTTTTATATATATAAAAAATAAAAAATAAGCAAGCCCAGATGAAGAAAAAAACAAAAAAACAAGTAACGCATTGCATTACTTTCAAAAAGTATCTATCTATATATAACGCAATATTGTAATGCATGACTTTTAAAAGTAACTTTCTCCAACACTGCTTACAATAAAAGAACAGCAGGCAGTTTATCAGAAAAGCCAAAAATATTTGTAGCACATACTGTAACATACTTTAATAGTAGGGATGCACGATATTGGATTTTTGCAGATATCCGATACTTTTGAACTCATTTTGGCCAACAGCCGATATATTTCCTTTTGTTTGAAAACTTTTGGGGTTTTTTTTCCAGACAAATGAAGTGGTAACCTTAATATTTTATTGGAAGTTTAACATTTGTAGATGGCCTAAAGCAAAAGAGTTGTAAAAATTCTGAAAATCTTTAAGAGCTCCTTCTATTTAAGTGCCATATAAAATTTGAAAAAAACAAAATGTGTCATGTTTGTGATTTTAATTAACATAAGCTATAGCTTCTGACATTTAAATCAAAACATACTCGTGATTTTATGACATAGATTATTGCTTTATTCAATCAGAAACACAATCTTAATGTTATTTGGGTATTTTACTTTCACTTTATTGCAAGTAGACCAACAACGCCCCCTAAATAAATAAAACACCTTACCGGATGGGCTTTCCGATAATATCCTGCATCCCTATTTAATAGTTTAAATCATTTTATTAAAATAATTTATTAATTATTTAACTATTATTAACCCTTGTGCGACCTTTTGAACATTTTTGTCCTTTTCAGTTTAGTTTTTTTGATCATTTTGCATGTGTTATTGCCAACTGCATAAATTTTGGCACAGGTGTGTATTTTTATTGGAATTTTACTATTTCACTTCCATTTCCTTTAATAAATCTGTTTTGCACTAGGTACAAAAAATTGTTTCTCTCAGGACCTTAAGGACAAAAATGTCCCCATTGAAACCCATTAAAACTGCTATTTTTAATCGCAGTGCCATTTAACTGTAAAATTATGCAATTTTTGATGATAGGCTTTCATTCTATTGGCAAGGCTTTAAAATTAAAATTTTTACCAGATGGTGCTTTTTTTTTAGGTTTGACCTATAAAGAAAATACTTGTTTTATTTCTGTTTTCTGCTTCTGCATATTATAGAGCCAATTGGATAAATAATGCAGCTATAATTGTGTGGGTGTGTTGGTATGGATGTCAGAGTGTGGTTTGTATGTGTGTCATAAAAAAAATAAAATTGTGTGTGTGTGCTTGTAATATTTGAGAGAGAAAAACTCTACTGCAAATCACAAATCCAACCACTGTGTGCACCAGCAGAGTTTTGCTGGCATCTAATGGGGAAAATATGGTACTGCGCCCAAACAAAATCTTACTGAAAGCTCATTTTTTGAGATATCAACCTCAAATTTGGAACACAACTTGTTTAGATTTATGGCTTTGATTTTCTAGCAGGTATAGCGTTCAACATGTTTCATAAAATATATATTTTATATAAAACATCGTTCATAAATCATTTTCATAAACCTAAACATCTAGAACTTTTTTTTTTGTTTCACTTTTTAAACTTTTTTTACTTCAACAATAATCTGCCATGGGTCTTCTTTAAAATGAGACCAAACTTAACTCTGTGCTCCCAAGCTTCAAATTTTTTATGACAGTTTTTTGACATGGACATTTTTGTCCACTACGGACCTGTGTGTAACTTTTTTTAATTGACGCACAAGGGTTAATAGTTATATCGTTGTATAATTATGTTTATTTATAAGTTTAAATGCATAATGCTTAAGTAATCAATGTGCCTCTACTTTTGAAGTGAATTTTATTTATCAGTCTCGTTATCTTTATTTTAATTTAGTTAAAAGTGGAATCCTCTGATTTTTAGAAGAATTTTTTTTTGTATGGTAAATAGTCTAAGAGTGTATATATATGACTGTATGTGTATATGTATGTACTGTGTATGCATATGAACAATGGAACTGGACATTTTTGGAATGGATTTTTTTTTTACCAACAACATATAATCTATCCATATCTTACAATACACTGCCACTTCAAATGTAGTAAAGAAAAGGCTTAAACATGCTCCTAGTACCTGCGTCTCCCATGGAGCTGAAGATGTTATCCGTCACGTCCAGGATGCGGTCAGTGGCCTCTCCGTGCCGTCCGATTGGCTGTCCTCCACTGGCGTACTGTCTGATATGCTGCAGCAGCTCATTAAGAGCCTGAGTGACACCTGTGGCAGCCACGCCCACCTGTCTGAGCAGCTGCTCGTCACTGGTCGCCCCCTGTGACGCCTCCACACAGCCCTCCACAGACTTAGCCACCAGCTTCCCGGCCTCGATGAGCTGCTCCTGACACACGGGTGAGTTGATGGTGGGAGCCACCACCTGAAACAGATAAAACACACACAGGAGCATCAGCTGAGGTCAGCGAGTCCGTCTGTGGATGTGCCAGGTGTGAACGCTCACTCGTGTGCAGGCCACCAGCTGTGACGTGGAGAGGGCGCACTGGGTGGCAGCAGCAATCACTCGGTTCTGTTGAGCTGAATCCTCTGTTTTCTGAGCCACATTCTTGGCCTTTAACACCAGAGCCGCCGCTGCATTAGCCACAGCCTTCGCCAACTGCATCAACATGTCCTGCACACACATACACAATTAAACAAGCTAGTTAACTTAATTAGACAGATATAATATGTGACCATGCAGCACAAAAGCAGTGTTAAGTCGCTGCGGTATATTTGTAGCAATAGCCAAAAATGCATCGTATGGGTCAAAATTATAAATTTTTCTTTTATGCCAAAAATCATTAGGATGTTGAGTAAAGATCATGTTCCATGAATATATTTTGTAAATTTTCTACTGTAAATGTATCAAAACTTAATTTTTGATTAGTAATATGCATTGCTAAGAACTTCATTTAGACAACTTTAAAGATGATTTTCTCAATATTTAGATTTTTTTGCACCCTCAGATTCCAGATTTTCAAATAGTTGTATCTCGGCCAAATATTGTCCTATCCTAACAAA